TACAAAATCATTACAAATGATCAAACACAACAAACAGTTTCTAGACAATCAATTAAATTAATTAATGAATTAAAAAAATAAAAAATTCATTCTGACAAATTTGCCATAATTTAAAAGTACAAACATCCTATTTCCCCAAAATGTATTGTCTCCCCAAAGTCCACAAACCTGAATGCTCCTTTAGACCATTGTACTACGTTGGCTCCCCATTCTATAATATCGCTAAAACACATTGCTAATATTTTAAAAAATGTCACAATTTCCTCTCCTCACTATGTAAAGAACTCTTACCAATTTGTGGATCTAATCAAAGACCGAAACATTACGGACGATCAAATTTTCTAAGCCTTGATGTAATTAACCTTTTCACATGTGTTCCCCATGATTTAATACTTGATTCAATTGAAAAACGCTGGCCCACTATTTGTAACTACACCGACTTGCCCATAACCACTTTCAAACACATCATTAACACTGTCCTGAATTGCTCTTATTTTAATTGTTTCAATAATTTTTATCTACAAATCAAAGGTACTGCTATGGGTTGCCCATTATCCCCTGGCATCATAGACCTAGTTTTACAAACCCTTGAAATTTCCGTTTTCTCCACATTAAATTTCCAAATATATTTTTACGTTAGATATGTAGATGACACTTTTTTTATAATAGACAAAGAACAATCAGATATAATAATCGATACCTTTAACAATTACAATAAGAGCATTCAGTTCACACATGAAACACAAATCGACAACAAATTAAACTTTTTAGACGTGACTGTACACAAAATTGACAACATTATTTGCACAAATTGGTACAGAAAAACTACATGGTCCGGGAGATACCTTCATTACGCGTCATATTGTCCCAAAAATTATAAAGTCAATACAATCATTTCTTTGATAGACCACGCAATCATGTTGTCTCACTCTTCTTTTCATACCCAAAACACAACATTAGTAACTAAAACTTTATTAGAAAACGGATATCCCCTCACCCTCATCAATTCCATTACCAATAAAAGACTTTCCTATCATAAAAGTAACAATTATCAATCCATCTCCAAGTTATTCCAAGACAACAATATTAAACCAACTTTTCACAGCATGCCTTACATTGAAGGCTTATTTGATTATTTTGCCAAATTACTCAAAGAAGAAAATATTTTCATTTCAGGAACAGCTCTATATTCTTTTAAAGAAATGTTTTCAAAAATTAAATCCACCACCCCTCCTAAATTCAATACTAACATAGTTTATTCCATCCCTTGCAAAAATTGTCAAAAACAATACATTGGCCAAACATCACAGTACATTCATAAGAGAATGAGACAACATGAATTAAGCGTCACTCATCATAAAAGCCGAAATTTCCAAAGTACTCTTGTTCAGCATTCCATCGAAAACTCACATAATTTCACCTTTGAACCCAATATTTTATATAGAGAGGATTGTACTTTTAAAAGACTTTTTTCTGAAAGCAGTTTAATCTTTTTGAATTCGTCAAAAAGTGTTAATAAAAGATCAGATCACAATATCATTCATGACTCATATTTAAATTTTTTAAACCTGATTAAAAATAATTAATCCTAATAGTTTTTGAATATGTGTATATATATACATGTATATATGTTGTAATATATGTACATCCATATATATGCTTATATGTATGTTTTTTGGGTATACACTATACACATACACTTGCATATGTGTTCATGTGTATAATTGTGGATACATTAATATATAGATATGTGCATATGTATGTATGAGTATGTAGGTGTGCATATACATGTTCATGTATGTATGTATATATATATATATATATATATATATATATATATATACATAATATTTCTCAACATTTACTAAAGCAATATTTTTCCTTTTTTCGTAAATTACCAAACAAGAGCCATAAAAAATCATTTTTGCCAAGAGTTCCGTGCTTTGTCCTTTACATCTGGCAGACAGAAATCCATATCAGTGTGTTTAAGTCTTGTGTAGTCGTAACATCTACAAATATCTTCCAAAAAAATCGAGTGTTTTTAACAAAAAAATATTAGTGATATGGATATATAAATTATTACAGGTAAATAATTTTTGCTTCTCAATTTTATATAAAACCTTTTTTAGTTAAGTCTTATTACTATCTATCCGGTACATAATCCATTCCTTTATAACAAAATTTTTTTCTAATTAATCTGTATTGACCATTGTTAATTAATGTTAATCAGTATTTTAAAAAACATTGTATTTGACATATATATATATATATATATATATATATAAATGTGTATATATAAATATGTGTGCAATATGATACAATATTGAATAGAGTAGAGTACAATAGGACTCATTGTCACACCCCATACAATAACTCTATTGTCACAGTACAATGTGCACATATATTTTACATATATACACATTTATATATATATATATATACATATATACAAGGCCGGATTTAGAAATTTGGCGCCCCGGGGCACTGACTAAAATGCCGCCCCATCCCTGAAGTTTTACGAACTTTCGAACTTTTGTTTAAAGCAATCGCGCTGCTTCAGCTGCGTAGGGACAAAATATAGAAGCGCGTAAGCGCCGCGTCGCCGTCTAACGGACAAACAATTTTACAGAACGCATATAAATGTAAAGAAATTTATACTTATTATTATAATATCTTTAAAATATCTGATAATTTAATGCGCATATGTTTTATGATCACTTTTGTCCGCCAAATATTTCTTTTTCAAATTTTTTATCGAAACCGCTAAACGTGCCTCCCACAAATTTAAGCAGTTATTTATTCTGTAATTTTTTTATATGATATTGGACGCTTTTTTTTCTCAAAAACTGAATTATCATTTTTGGCATTTTGGCCCGTATCTTCAAAACAGTTGAACCTGCCTTGGCCAATAGTTAATCAGCACGTCTCCTTATCAATCATTTAAATCGGTTGATCCGTGTTCTCGAAATCGACTTGAATAATTAAAAAATATTAGATTTGTATTGATGGCGAAACGTGCTGATTAGCTTTTGGCACAGGCAATTACGAAAAATGGTAATTGAATTTCGATATTTCTTCTCTGAAACAGCTACGCAGCGCGATTGCTTTGCAAAAAGTTCATAATTTTCAAAAAATTTCAAAATACAAAAAATGAGTTTTAAAAGTCTTTTTTTTTCATTTTTCAAAAAATTTTAAAGTTCTTCAAATGTAATTTTTAGTACGGGATGTTTCAGGAACCCAAATTTTGCATTGCAATCGTATTATGGTTTGTTAATTATATTTCTTGAAAGAAAAAATGTTGTTAAAAAAAAGTTGATTATATTGTATAGATTTTTTTTAACTATCCAAATTTTGCCGCCCCCCAAAATTTGCCGCCCTGGGCAGTAGCCCCGATTGCCCCTACTGTAAATCCAGCACTGCATATATATATATACATATATATATATATATATATATATATATATATACATTTGTATATTATATATTATATCGCGGATATGTGACGTTTTCGGAATATCAAAATTCAATCACAAGACATAAATATATGTACATTCGTGACGAAAAGGATTTTGCAATTGAAACAAAATTTTGCCAAATTTTCAAAAATATACAAACATATACTTCAAGTACGAATTTAAAATTTACAGTTCAGTTTGGAAATGTACATATTTCAAATGCGTTATTCTGATCGTAAGAAATATATCCTCAGATGGATTCCTTCGGCACCTCTTGGTAATGTAAACATTCTCAAGCGATAAGATCGTCACTATATGTTTTCTGAACGATAAAATATCTAGTGATTGTAATTATCTATGTGAAAATGTTTAAAACTATTTTTATTAATCATTGATCAAAATTTATTGATTACGGATTGTTTCCCTTGAATATTTAATTCTGGTACGGAAAGTTCCAGCAAGGCACCATGCCATAAATAAAAAAATTTGTATTTATTACTATTTTAATATCGATTGGTGCTTATATTAGTAAAAACTATATTTTTGTTTTTTCTCCAAGGGTTTTTTTCATAAGGGGTTCGTCGGTTGTTTTATTGAATCCGAATCGCCCGCAATTACTACTGGATTGTTCGCTAATTTGCACCCTTTTGGTTTTTGGCGACCCCATATAATAAAATACACCCTTTATACATATATATATATATATATATATATATACATAATAGTCTTCATTTATATTCAAGACACCTAGATAGATTTTTGATTTTTTTACATCAAAAGTATTCCTGAATCAAATCCGTAAGTCTAAGCACGAATCTTTTATCAAATGTATATATACATTTATATATATATATATATATATATATATATATTTGTATATTTGTATAGATATTTGTATCTGTATGAGGGTTGGTAATAAAAGAACTTTTGTGGTGATAAGAAACATCTAAAAAAAGGTCATCCCTTTAGATAAAGCGCAACCCTATACCTTAGTTTCCGTTTATTTGAGATCAAAAAACTATTTCCTGGACTTATATATGTATATATATATATATATATATATATATATAAGTATTTTTTTATATGCTAAATATTTAAAAAAATTAATTTTAAGACAAATTTATCGAAAGTGTTAAGGCAAAATGCATGAACTTTCCGATACGTATTACTTGATCAATATGATAAATTTTATTTTTTAATTTTGGTCCCAAAGGACTCAGATTGACTTTAAACGTCGAGAAGTAATAAAATTGGCAAATCAAATATTTTGGTATAAAATATAAAATTCTTCTCTAATAATGTAAAAAAATAACACTTTTGTTATTTTTGTAGTAAGTATTAGTAAAAAAATGAAAATTTTGTTATTTTTGTAACAAATATTAGTATCATAAATAGTAAATTATAATTAAAAAAGTTTTGTTTTACAATTTTGGTCTCAAAAGACTCAGAATGACTAACACCGAGAAGTAATAAAATTAGCAAGTCAAATTTTTTGGACAAAATGTTAAATTCTACTGTAAAATGTAATAAAATGAAAATTTTACTATTTTTGTAGTAAATATTAGTATTAAAAATAGTATAATATAATAAAAAAAATTTGTTTTGCAATTTTGGTTTCAAAAGACTCAGAATGATTTTAATCGTCGATAAGTAATAAAATATAAGCAAGTCAAAAAAACGAATATTTTACTATTTTTGTAGTAAATATATGTAATATAAATAATAATGAAAAAAAATAATTTTAATCAAATAAAAGTAACAATAAAAAAGTGAATTAT